GCTTCTCTTTTGCCTGCTTTAAAAGTAATTTTCACTTATCTCAGTTTAACAGCCACTTTCTGAAAATCCAATTAGTGATTTATTTTTCAATTTTTTCTTTCTGAGAAATAGCATCTATAGAATTATCAAACTAAATGCTGGATGGACCTAAAAGATAATTTTGGACTAGTAATGAAATATTTCAAATATATGTTATTATCAAGCTATGAACCTGTCTTGTACTTACAGTAAAAAAAAATTGTTTGACTTCTTAATTTTGTAGGTGTAGAAAACACCGAGGAGACTTTGTTAGACTGCAGTCTTTTTAAAACTGAATTAAAAAAGACAATTTTAAGTACTAAGAAGTAGTAAGTAGAACATTGACTTAATGTTTAAGATCTAAGAACCAAATACCACACAGAGAACTTGTTTTACAGGCACAAGAAGCAGTAATGATTTAACACAGTGCTAAGAAATCCATCATTTAGCATTCTCTTTATGCCTGTAGTAACAAACAAATGATGGTGATAATGAAATAACAAACTTTAAAATTTTAAAATTCTAAATGCAGCTCAGAAAAATGTAAATTTGGTACGATGAAGGATTGTTTCCTTTGTCCCTAAAGCCAACGGACTGTAGAACTGTTTGGGTTCAGCACACGGCTGCCTCTGTGTGAAGAAAATTAGTGGAGGATTAAACATTTTGCATGTTAATACACCACTGGTACACGAAGTGACCGACTGTCGTAATATCTGGATTTTCCTAATGGAATTTTTAGAGTAAATAAGCTTGTGCTTATTGTTCATAAGTTGACACTGAGGACTTCCCATGGACAGGGACTTTGTTCTCTGATGAGGTCTCTGTTCTCTTGAAGTAACCAGTGAGTAACCTGTAGGTACCGGACGTGTGGTGGGTTTATTTCAAAGTACTCTGATTCTGTCCAGGAAAGGGCCTGTGTTCGGCCACCTTGGAAACAAAAAAAAGGACCTGAGCAGCACGGGGATGTGACATCACACCCTCACCACCACAAGTTCAGAACAGACCAGTGTGCCTTTTCACCTGTGGCTTGTTTGGGGTGTGGGTTGGTTGGTTTTCTTCACCTGTAGAGCCTTTTTACTTTGGCCACTGCTGAGGGTACGTTCAGGAAGATAATCTTGAACATGTGCATCTTCCAACATGGTTTTAACTTTTCTTTTTTTCCCTTCACAGTCTCTTGCAGCAGATCAACTACTAAAACTTATGAGCACAGTGGATCCAAAGTAAGCATCAGTGATTACAAGTACTTGTATTGCAGTACACTTGATCTTGGGAATATCTGTTGTGATTCAGTATCCAATCTTTGACCTGCTGGATCTGATTTAGGTTGGAGAAAATTTGTGTCTTGGGGATCTTGTGCAGACTCTCTTTTCTGTGGTAGAGAGATGAGAGGGAGGAAAGGAAAATTATTCAGCCTCGCATCTGTGGAATAACACGAATTAATCTCTGGGATTTTATTTTGCTAGAGGCAGAAATTCAGTTTTTCATATGTCACTTTGTCACTTCTGTGTCCGTAATGTGAAGGTGCAGCTGGCACCTTACGTTCTGCGAGGTGGAAATGAAGGGGCTGTGGTTGAGGATGAGCCAAGGGGGAGACGGAGGGGCCGTGGTTGAGGATGAGCCAGGACCAGCCTGTGAGGTGGAAATGAAGGGGCCGTGGTTGAGGATGAGCCAGGACCAGGAGCTGTTGTAAAAAACAATAACAAGAGTCTGTGTGTGTTACAGCTGACAGAAGATAACAGAAGACAGTATGTCTTACTACTTGGTAGAAAAAGGGAGCAAATAACAGCAAACATGAGTATTTTCTAGTTTTTACTTCAGTGTTCAGGAAAAGGATAATTTTGTTCAAAATAGCGTGGCACGGGAAGAGCAAGCAGGGAAGGATTGTAGCACTTAATGTGTTAGTGTGCTGTTAAGCTGTTGATAACGTTACATGTGCCATTAAACAAAGCTGTTAGACATATCAGTAGATGCAAAGTGTACGAAATGCAAAGAAACCACCTCTGCCTCCAAATCTCAGGAAGCTTTGGAGAGAACATTTCCAGCTTTGGGAAGGCATATCTCATCTACACCAGGGGATAAAGCTATATGTGTCATCTGTCTTTGGTTTTAATACTTTTCTGGCACGTTATTCTCTGGTTTAAGTTGACATTTCTGTAAGCAGGGAGTGCCTAACTGATTGAACAAAATAGTTACCTGAGATAATGGATTAAGTAAACATCAGTCAGGGGTATACTGGATATAGCTGGTTGGCTTCAAAGCCACCTTGTAGGACACGTTTTCTGAACTTTGAATTTCATCACTGTTTGTAGGCTTCTCAGAATGGCTCATAAAAATGGAAACTGACCTTCCACTGTGTAATATATTTTCCACTGTGTAGTCACTCTGCCAGGTGGTGAGAACTGAAATCGTGTTGTTGGCACCTATCTGTGCCAGACAACACAGACTTTCTTGCTATTTACAGTTTACTGGGATTCCAAGAGCCGTGTGTACTTCCCTCTCGTGCCACTGTTTTGAGCACAGGTGTCACCTCTTGGACTTCCTGCTCTGTCACCTGAATGGTGACAAAATGCAGGCAGGCTCGGATTCGCTTAGGGCAGTCGCTTTGAGCAGGCTGCCAACCGACCGTGGAGGCACACACGTCTTGGATTCCTGGATACCCAATTTCTAAAATTCTGTTTTATTTGCCAGGTTGAACCATGTAGCTGCAGGTCTTGTTTCACCAAGTCTGAAGTCAGATACCTCCAGTAAAGAAATAGAAGAAGCTATGAAAAGAGTACGAGAAGCACAGTCACTAATTTCTGCTGCTATAGAGCCAGGTAAGGTTAAACCAGAGCTCACCTTGCTCAATTCCACATGGAATTTTGATGTAGTGGGTGATAAAAGCCAATGGTCTGCAAAATATTGGCTTAATGCTTTCGTAGTCTGAAGTGGCTTAATTTATAGTTGACAGGTTTTTAGTTGTCCTGCACTGCATGTGTCCTGCAGAACGACACAGGGAATTAATAATTTTTCCCCAAATTTACCTGAAGATTAGGAAAAGTTTGAGCTTCCCCTGATTGAAGTTCATACTGCCATCTCTGAGATTTCACTGGAAACAGCAAGGGGCTTAACCACTTGACATCCTTGCAATGTTTGTTCTTGGGGATGGTTTGCTTTCTTTTAATTCCTAATCTGTGGAAACTTGTAAATTTTTTTTAGCTTGTTTCAGTAGATTATCTTGTAGAACAAGATGCAGCAGTTCATCTGCAAGTGTCAGATCCACCAAATCTAAGCAGCAGTGACCTGCAACGCTGAAAATACAGTTTTGCAGCCTCCTGGTCATTTTCAGGAAAGAGTAGAGCTCCTGTTCTTTTATTACATCGGAAAAACGTGCTGATGGTTTTGCTTGAGACTTTTCGTGGGAAATTCAAAACAATAATTAGAGAGATTCTTTAGCCCTTCACAAAATGGCGAAGATTCTGAGATTTTACCAAGTCTTTCCTTGCCCTGCAGCTATCATCTTTTAACTGACTTCAACATTTTCTGAATTTTGGCTTCTTCAGTTTTGCATAGAACTTTGTTGGCTTTGTGTCGCATACACGTCTTTGTCATGTGCTCATTCTTTGTGCCATCTTTTGAGGAAAAGGAAAGATAAGCCTTAATTTCAAGTGTCAAAATATTCCTTAGTTTTCTTTATCTTATTTATACCTGTAGCGTGAAGCTCAACTTCTTTTCCTTTGTAAAATCTTTTTGAATACTAAAATAATGTTGAATTTTTTACTATTCTTTTACTTTTTAACTCCAGACAAAAAAGATGAAAAACGAAGGCATTCAAGGTCAAGGTCACGCTCAAGGAGGAGGAGGACACCTTCTTCATCTAGACACAGGTAGTTAGCCTGTTTGCTTTAAAAAACCAAACCCACAGAGCTGAAACAATTCCTTCAAAAGTACTTCTTGGCAGTGACAGTTCACTCGTGGGAGACAGATTGTAGCAAAAAGTACCTTCAACTGCTGCAGAAGGAACTTCGGGACACCTCGTCCTAGTGGTGTTTGGACCCTGATGTTATTTAGCAATAAATTGTTCCTTAGATTAGAAACACCTTGGCACAGAGCCTTGCTTTCCCACAGCCCTCACTCCATGAACACCTCAGCCACTGAAGGCTGTCCGTTTTACGTTGGTTCCACTAAACCTCCGTCGGTTCTTCAGCCCTTTTCCAGTGTGCCCATGTCATTATTATAATTTGCTTTAAAACCAACAACTAGGAGGCTTCTCTGAGTGTTGTTATTTCTGTACATAAATGTTTACCTGTTGGGCTGTTTGTTTCTAGTATGTGCAGCAAATTCAGCTTAGTGGAAGGATCTGGGACAAAGGTTTTTCCAGCGTTTTCTAGGTTACGATTTACTAGGAGATCAGATCCTAGAAATCTTAGTATTGTCCTACCCAAACAGGGACACACATGGTTCACTTAGCTGGTGGCTTGTCAGCTCCAGCCAGACAGGGCATGCCAGTGGTCTGTGCAAAGCCATTTGGACTGTGGCCTCCCCATCTGTACTTCTCTGGTGTCTGCATTTGCAGTAATTGGCTGGTGTTTGGTTTAGTCTTCTAAAAATTTCTTCACATTTGAGCATGGCGTACCAGTTCTCTGCCACAGTAGGACTGATGTTTTCTTACAGGGAGAGCAAACAAGAGAGCTGATTGAAGCATCGTGTTTCTTTGACCTTTAGCATTTGGGCCCTTCCTTTTGCCATTTCCTTGGCAGACTCAACGCGAGTCCTTTGCTGTTTTCTATCTTCTTTTTCGTTTTCTCCATCGTTGTGCGTTACAACACCGTGAGCACTGAGCAGATGGATGCTGAATGGTGTGTCCAAATTTCGTGTATTTAATTCCCTTGTACAATGTTACTGGTAGACGGTCAAGAAGCAGATCAAGGAGAAGATCTCATTCAAAATCAAGAAGCAGGAGGCGGTCTAAAAGTCCAAGGCGAAGAAGATCTCATTCCAGAGAGAGAAGCAGAAGGTCTAGGAGCACGTCCAAAACCAGGTAAGTGCTTCAGTAAATCTAGTCGCTGAAAATTACTGAATTTTGGTGCTTCATTAAAAAAAATACAATCCACAAACAAACAAAAAGCCTAGGGGAAAGTGAACTAGTGGCTCTTTTTAAAGTCACCATCTTGTAACATCTTGCAGAATATACGTGCACAGTCAGTTACATAAAAACATGGAACTGCTTTTCCCAAGAGTCGACAGAGGCAGCAAGCATTAGCTGGATCGCTCCGTAGCTGCCTCTGGAAGGAAATGGGAGCACCCAGACTTGCAGATCTTGTGCTCTTCTTCCACAGAAGAGCTGTTTGTTTATTTTGCTGTAGATAATTGTGATCTTTGTTCCTGTTACTATAACGTGCCAGGCCCCAGAAACACTGAACAGTGGGTGCTCTCCCATGTAGTTACCACGTCTTCGTTCACTTTCCTACGTAGCACAGGTAGTGAACGCTGCTTGAGTAATGTGAGAATGGCTTAAAATCTGTGTTTTACTAAAAGGGACAAAAAGAAGGAAGAGAAAGAAAAGAAACGTTCTAAAACTCCCCCCAAAAGCTACAGCACAACGAGGCGATCAAGAAGCACAAGCAGGTACAGTAACACCAAAGTTTTCCTTGGTCTCTGTTTCCAGTGTGCTTTGTCACATGTGATGGAAAGAACGTCCTTGTACGTAACGGGGTGATGATTCTGTGGTGGGTATGTGAGTGTGTGCATAAATGCATGTGTACTCTCTGCCTGTGCCTGTGAGATGCTTTATTTTTTACCCTGATGCTGTAGTTTTGGGGAATTATTGTTTGGGCTTAGAATAGTTTCCACTTGCTCTGTACCAAAGAGAGTGTGGTGCTTTGAGGTCGCTGTTAAACTCTTCCCTGATTTATGGAATAATACATGCAAAATGTGTGCCGCTCCTTTTAAAAAAACTCCCCAAATTAACTTGCAACATTAACAAACTGTTTTGTTTCTGTTTGCAAAAAGAGTCGGTGTCCCTAACACAGGCTGGGGGAGCGATTTGTTCGTGAGGGGAGGCAGGACAGGAAACAACTTCCTCTGTTGGTCAGCAGCTGTGTACTGCTCGTAGCAAACATCCAGTTTGAGTTAAATGTGTTTATGGCCTTTTGAGCAGTGCTGGGTTTGGAGCCAGAGGTGGTTTTGTAGCTTTTTTTAAAAAAAAAAAAAAGGTAAAAAAAAAGCTTTGATCTGTCTGTCCTGCAGAGAAAGACGACGTAGAAGAAGCAGGAGTGGAACACGATCACCTAAAAAACCCAGGTCTCCTAAAAGGAAAATGTCCCGGTCCCCATCTCCAAGAAGGTCAGTGAGCCTCTTGGCTGAAAAAAACCCATCCCAAAACCAGTGTCTGGGTGGAAAATTCCCAATAAGAGAACTACAGCAAAGATCACAGCGGGGTTGTTTGGATGATGGTGTGTATTTGGCTTGTTCCTTACACCTCGCCCACAGGTTGACTTCTTGAGAGACAGAGTGGATCTCTGCTGCCTGCTACTGCTTTTATCATAATTTAATTGGCCTCCAGCACAGAGCTGCTGTGTTCAGTGCCCAAGAGCTCCCAACATGAGGTCTTCCAGGGCTGAGGAGCAGGAGATACACAGAGTTCCTGGCCCATTTGTGCAGCTCTGTACTATAGGAGTCAGCTGTCCTCTGGTGGGCCTGGGCGTTTCGTGTTGCCTGAACAGGCCACTTCAGGTGCAAATTCCTAAAATGCTGTTAACAGGGCAGTTAGACTTTGCTTAGCAGTGGCTGTGTTTGATCCAGAGCTAAGAAATCGGGATATTTGGTGATTTTCTGAAAGCAAAGGGTGTATCTTAGTTACATGCTGCTGTTTCTCCCTTCAGGTTTGTGGTGATCTATCAGAAACAGCCTGACATGGTCTGTGTTCTAGTTATGGAACGGTGTGATGAAGGTTTTCATTCTTGTGCATACTTTGTTATTGTAGACATAAAAAGGAAAAAAAGAAGGATAAAGACAAGGAGAGGAGTAGAGATGAGAGAGAGCGGTCAACAAGCAAGAAAAAAAAGAGCAAAGACAAAGAGAAGGATCGGGAACGAAAATCCGAGAGTGACAAGGACGTGAAAGTATGTTTAAAAACCTGTTTAACTTCCCTGTCCCTAAGTATCCACCTGAAACCGACAGGGGCTTTGAAAGCAAGTTTTCCTCTTTTTTTTATCTCGGCAAAGCAGGTCACAAGGGATTATGACGAAGAGGAGCAGGGCTATGACAGCGAGAAGGAGAAGAAGGAAGAAAAGAAAATGTCAGATTCCTCCTCCCCTAAAGCGAAGGAGTCTGCTGCTGACAAGGGCGGTGGCGACTCGGCGAGAGAATCCAAAGTGAACGGGGACGACCACCACGAGGAGGACATGGATATGAGTGACTGAGTTTTGCCGCCGCGGACGTGCATCAGTGTCATTCCTGTGTGATTCTTTTATGCTGTACTTGTTAATCCTGACTCTAGATGTACACAGCTCTCAGCTACACATGGTTTGTAAATCTCCTGATACTAACTCCCACCCAAAGCTTTAGAGAGAGGTAACCATCCCCGTTACGGCCGACAGGGATCGCGTGGCCAAGCGATTCCTACTAACTTGGTGATGCTTCGGGCAACAGTAAAAAGCTGCATGCGTCTCCAGCAGGCATGGACTGTTTGTTGTATGATCTCCTGTAGTAACCAGCTCACTTCCGATAGTGTTCCTAGACTTTGGCCCCTTGCAGTAATAGAGCAGTGTAGGG